CGGCGCCATCCATACCCACAGAGTTAAAGTGTGCAGTTTCATAGTGCAGCCCTGAGCCCCTGCTTTACAGGCATCCTCTGATATGTTTTCCCCAGAGGTAATTAATAACAACAATAATAAAAGCACTTTTTCATGTGTTAAAAATCTGCTCATGATCTATTCACCTGCTGGCATGGTGACTAAGATGCTGGATGACCACGGTTTGAGTCTTGGACCTGGCATCTTGAAAATCATGCTGGGCATGTATGCGTGCGTGCCCAAGATCCTAAGAGGAGAATGGAGGAGAAGGGATTGTGGCGTGGTGATCCCCCCCAGGGGTGATTTCTCACTTTTCTTGACAGATGTGGGTAGACTTTGGAGAGAAGTTGCACTCATGGATTGTAGAGTAAAGAAACAAACAGGCCTGGCCTCAGCGGTGCAGTGAGAATGTGCAGAACTGCAGTGCTGGAAGCCACGTGGCCAGCCCAGGTCCAGCTCTCCAGCCCAGGCCAACTGAAATCCACTGTGGAACAGCATCGCAGTATGACCTGACCCTGTTGAGGGTGTTCTATTCTCATTCTCTCTCTCTCTCTCTCTCTCTCTCTCTCTCTCAGAAGAAATAAATAAATTTTAAAACAATTAAAACCTCCCTACAATATGCTATGTACTGCCTTTCATTAGAAATGTCAAACTCAATACTTATTAGGCAGTCCGAATAAGAATCTGAACTTTCAGTCGAACGAGTGGGGTTTCTGACCTCAAGCAAAATGTACTAGCATCAACTCACTCCAACTTCACTACCTTAAATGGCCCTTACCTGCCTCCCACTCCCCTTGACTCATGAAAGGCAAATGAGTTTCAGGTAGGCACTGTCAGCCATGAAAACCAAAATCTTCACTTGGTGTTTGCACTGAGACTCCCTCTGTATAGTTCACTGGGCCCCTCTGTAGATTCCCGGCAGTCCTCCGGGCCACAGACCCTACCTCGGACCACACCAGATTTGGGGGCTATGTCTGAAATATCTTTTACTTGGCAGCTGGTGTAGAGTAGGGAAATTCATTAACATGCTAACGATGTCCTATTTAAAATTCTAGCCTGATTATTCTGTGATTAAATCTCTCCCCTTGACATCTCCTTCCTTTATACCTGAGTTACAGTGTGAAATCAACAATATTAATAAAGTACAATACAGGTTACCAACTTGCACACAAGGGATGAGAAACCAGTTATGTAAATCTCGGCGTTTTTTCTGAAAAGCAGATGTAGCCAACTAAAAAGAGTCAAGAATCTCTTTCATCCCACCCTCTCCCAAAAAAAAAAAAAAAAAAAAAAAAAAAAAAAAAAAAGGAAATCCATAATAATTAAAGGTTTATAGTTAATTTCCACAAGTATTCAGGGGTTGGAAGATAGATTTAGCTTTTCATTCTATTTTACTGCACTTAAAACCATTCAAATACTGCTGAGTCCCCCGAGCAGACAGGAGTTCAGCACGCCGGTTCTGGTCTCTTCCAGCAGCCACATGGAGGTGGCCCAGCCGGCGGCTCCCCGAGGAGCACTGGCCCTTGCACCTCGAGAGCTGGGGTGCTTCCGGCCCTTCCCTGTCATCGCGCTGCTCTGTGCACGGCATCTTGGTCAGGATCTCCGGCCCAGACAGCCCAAGCGCCTTCCATGAAAGACGGCCAGACTGATCACTGTTCTCATCAAACTGGAAAAAAAAAAAAGGCAGCACCAGATTCGCGGTGCACATCGTGTTCCAAAAAGAAGGAAGGACTAAGGCCTCATTTCTGCCTCCGGCCCCAGGGAGCAAACACGGGCTACAGCCTCCTCCCGGTTTGCAAGGCCCCAGGCCGGGACCCACGCCAGAGAGGGCACGTGAGGCAGTGCTCTGGACTCGCGGTCTAGCTGGAGACACGGAGCTGAGGACATCTCAAGTGACCAGCGAAGGAAGTAGACCTCAGATGAGTTTCAAGAGAGGCAGTTTGCATCCGTGAGCACTCACTGCGTGAGAGGGACCCCTAGTTATTCCCTGAGATGCCACGTCTTCCCTTCTTTTTTTTTAATAATTCAGTGAATTTTAGTTATATCAAAATGATATTCTAGCCCACCCAAACATGTATCTACTTTTTCTTCCATCAAGAACTCAATTCCCTTCTTTACAAAATGGTTAAATTTGAAGACCAAGTTAATAGCCACCATATTTAAAGTTAAACGCAAGGTTGCACACAATGAAAGCATGATTTGAAATTCACATTGGCATTCATATTTCTACATTTCCCTCTGTGTATCCTAAATAAGCTTCCTGACCCATAAGTCTTCCCTTTTGCTGTAGAAACAGAACCGCAAGCTTTAGCAGGCAGGTGGTGGCCCAGGGTAAGGACAGTGCCCAGATCCCTTGCAATAGGCTGTCACAGGTCAGCTCGGAGATGGGCAGCAGAGGGGTGTGCCAATTCCCAGAGGCCCTGGCAAAGGTACAGGGGTCTCTCTTCCCTCTCTGTTCTCTCAGCCTGGATGTGACAGACACACGGCTGCAGCCATCTTAAACTGAACATCACTTCTTGAAGGGTGCAGAACTAAACAGAAGACAAGCAGGCTTAGCCCCAGCTTCACGCTGCAAGGCGCTGCTGCTTGGAGGCTGAGGCCGTATAGGAGGCCCAGGTTCAGCTCCCAGCCCAAACTAAACAGGCAGGGGTGCTGGCTGTAGCCAACGGGGAGGTGAAACGGGGATCCCCACATGGCAAGACCTGTCAACAATACATCTCTCTTGGCCAGCCTCATGGCACAGTGGTAAGGCCCTGTGTTTTGGACCAGATCTCATGCGGGCCACCATGGTTCAAATCCCAGCTCTGGCAGCCTGAAAAATACCCTGAGTGCCTGTGGGTGTGCGCCCCGAATCAATCCTAACCGGAAGGAGGAGGGGAGTGAGATAGCTGTGGCTGGCCTGCTCCATCGTGGGTACTCTCCTTCTAGCTCTTACGAGCACACACACCCTTTGGCAATAAATACATAAATAATCTCTTTTCCTCTCTGTCACGCATAAATAAGTAAACAAACACACATTTTAAAAAGACAGGGTTGTTTGTCCATCCCGGAATTGCCCGCTTTCCCTCTTTGCTGCGTTCTGCAACCATGGTCAGAAATCAATCTTTTTTTGAGGAACTGTGCATATTGCTCATTTCTTAGTCTTATTTTTTAATGTTTTAAAAATCCTAGTCCGTACAGGCATACACACTTCATATTATCCACAGGGCTCGCTCCACGTTTCAACTCAAAGTCTGAACTCTCAGAACCCCAAGACAGCTGCACGAGAGCTCTGGCCTGGTTGTCTTACACCTCAATAGATAAAAGCATCGATTTACTCAGAATTCACTTTTACCTATTTGTTGCCCACACTCTCACCAACTCCAGATGACTAATCTGGTTCACCCAAAGCCAAGGCACCTCAGGCTGGGTAGAAATGAGCCTCAGCCCCACACAGAAAGAGCGGCCGACCCAGCAAATCCGAGCGTGAAACCCTTCATAAAGAGAGCCTTCACTACAGTAATGCGCTGTCTGCAATTTAGAATCATCCGTGGTAACAACCTCTCATCCCATTTGTTTATGTTTTATTCATCATTTTGAAAATACTTGGTGAAGTGACAATGATGAGATTCAAAAAACACTGCACAGCCCTTTTTTAAAGAGGTATTAATGGTTTCCAAGAGCTCAACTATTCAAAGGAAAATATTGCTGGACTAAATTCGCTCAAATTTGTTCTTTTCTTCTTTATTCTTAGACATAATGTATTCCCCGCTTTGTGCCAAATAGTACACGGTGGTAACAGGAGAACTCTTACATTTTCACTGCTGTACGTTAAAAGAAAACGATAGTAAAGATGCAACACTCCTCCCGCGTGACATCGTGAGCCACAGCGGCAGGCCTTGGGTGGGCGGGCTGTCACTCCTCAACACGTGATCACCATTATTATTTATGCTCAGATGGGAATACTTGATAAGCCAAGGTCTGACCTCTAAAAGCAAAAGGACAAAAAGATAAGCCGCGAGCCGCTGAGCCAGCCTGGCGGTGCTCACTGCACGGAGCCCACCGTCCACACCACGCGATCTGCTTGTGGCCTCACGCTAGTCCTCGTTTACTGGTCAAGAAACATGTCCCAGTATCTCACACATCTTAAATCTAACTTGGCTTCTAATGATCATTCTGCACATTAGGAACTCAACCATCAGACATGTTGCACTTTTTTAAGAGGTTTTTGCCTTAGGTCACATGTGCTCAAGAGATCATCCCCTGGGGGGATGGCCATGCCACAATCCTTGGTCCTCCCAGGATCTTGGGCACGTACACTCATGCACCAGCGTGAGTTTCAAGCTACCGGGTCCAGGACTTGAACTGCCATTGACCATATAGGAGACCAGTGATATAATTGCTACAGTCTGCTGGCCCTGAGCTTTTACTCTGTCAGTTCGGGCAGAGACTCTCCACCAGGGTGCAGCCCCAGGTGCCCTCCTCTGCCCCGACAGCTGGGATAGGGAGGAACACGAGGACACATCAAGCTCTCCAGCAAGCAGAGCCTCCACTGAGGCTGCACTGGCATCTTCGACATCGTTCTTCGGGGGACGAGCTCTCAGGAGCGCACACACAGAAGAGCTGCCATGTGGGCTTTTCTCAGGGGCACCTGCTTTAGCTGTGCTTGTGCAGACCCGAAGGCAGAGCCAAGGGACAAAAGGAAGCTAACTGTCAGACAGAGACTGCCCCAACCTGTGCCCAGGACAGACGGCGCTAATAATCACAAGGCCATCAACAATTCCAGGGATGAGAAGGGAAACAAAAACAGAAGATGTCATATGTTAATAGCAAAACAAAAGCTGACAAGAAATTCCATTCTGACTGCCAAGGCTCCTGCCAAAAATGTCCCCCAGGAAAAGAACCATGTGCCCCTCGATGCCCTTGAAAATGACGCTCACAGAAAGCCATGTGACCCGGGAAGGATCGCAAACAGCCCACCAGTGGCAGCGTGGGCCACTCACCATAGGCAGCTTCCTGGCGCTCCAGCTCCCTCGTCAGTCTGCCGCACTCTTCGTTAACGCTCCCCAGCTTGTGGACGGTCCTGGAACTCAGCGCCAGCAGCGTGCCGAGGAGACCTTCCAGCGCTTCTCTCTCTGATGCCAAGGATCGCATCTCCTCTGCGAGGTCCTTAGCTGTGCGGAAATGGTTTCCTGCAGCACACAGCAGAAGGGGGAGAGGGAAAGAAGCTTTACAGCTCCAGCCTGCATGGAAGACGTCGCGGCAGGTGCAATTCACGGTGTGGGCGAAGGGACTGAACGTGGCAGTGAGGGACAGCTTCCTTAGCAGTCCTCCGAAGAGGAGCCTGGAAAATGCTGTCCCCCGGAAAGGCCCCCCCCGCCAGTCTCTTTATCACCTTATTTTTGTTAAGTCTGTACTGGGGTCCTATTGGCTAAACTTATGAAACACGATGATACAAAAACATGCCCGGGAAGCCATAACGTATCACTCCATGCAATTCGCAAAGCTCAAGGAGGGGGTGTAGAATTAGTCTGGTGAAAGGGGCTGGGGCTTGAAGTCAGAATACACCTCAACTGAAATTCTAGTCCCCCATTACTCAAAATGCAAGACCCGGAGCAAGAAAACGAGCAGATCTGAGACAAAGCTTTTGTAATATATGACAGCTATAAGACAAAATCACAGGTGGCTGCAAGAATAAACCAGACATTCAGTAATGCACTGGACAAAATAGCTGATATACAGGAAGTGGCAAGGTTGCAGGATTAATACCCAAAAATCAAGTTATGTATAAATATTTTTAAAAAGCAATTAGAACATGATTTTCAAAAAATATAATTTATGAGACATTTAAAAACTCAAAATACTTAGGGATAAATTTAAAGAGGTGCAAGAGGTCTACAATTAAAACTATGTTTTAAACTGCCAAGAAAAATTAAAGACTTAAATAATTAGAAAATATATACGTATGTCAAAAAACTCAATATTGCTAAGATTTCAATTTTCCTGAAATTGATTTATTGGCTTAACACAACTCCAATCAAAACTTCATGAGGCTCTTTTGTGGAAAGTTACAAGCTTATTTTAAAGCGCAAAAAAAAAAAAAAAGAAAAGAAAAGAAAAAGCCTAGAGAAACAGTCCCAATTTCAAGAGTCAAGCTAAAGCCGTTACAAAGTGAAATGTCATGGAGCCAGCACACGGACAGACAGACCGACAGGACACGATGGACAACCCAGGAGCATGCCCACGCTCTTGTGCCCCATTGATTCTCAGCCAAAGTGCCAAAGCGAATCAACAGGGAAAAGTCTTTGCAACCCTGGTGCTGGAACAGCGAGCGATCTACGTGGGGACAGCGTCCGCCCGGACCATCCAGGCAGACCTACCGCACACACTGCGGAAGAGAGGCATCCGGCCCCAAGTAGGAGTCGGAGCAGTAAGCCTGCCAGAGGAAATGTGGAGGGTATCTCACTGACCTCAGAACAGACCAAAACTTAGGGAGTACCCAGAAAGTACCATGAAAGAAAAAAAATGGATAAATTAACTTAATCAAATTTAAAACTTCTGTTCATCAAAAGACGCTATTCAGAAAATGAGTAGCGAGTCAGACTGGGGGAAAGTATTTGCTCCACCTATATCTGACAAAGGACTCGAACCCTCCGGCTCCATGGTGAAACTGCAGATGGGTCAGACAGTGCCCAGCACTAACACAGCGCTCCACGATGCTGAAGCCACACAAGCCGGTCCCCGGTTTGCGTCCAGGTCTCCCTCCCGCACGCATGCCCAGGATCCGGGTTGGCTGAGGCGGGGGTGGGCCATGGCCCAAAGACGCTGTTGGGGCACCTCTCTCTCTCTCTCTCTCTTTCTCACTGTCTCTGTCTCTTTCTGTCTCTTTCTCTCTCTCTGAAGAAATAAATACACTTTTTAAAAAGTTTTTAAAAAATACAAATGACACCACTGAGAAATGAGCACGTGACTTAACAGACACTTGACGAGGGACACACTAGGGGACAGTAGCATGTGGAAGGGCCTGACATCACTAGTCACCAGGAAAACACAAATTAGAACCCCAGGCCTCCACTGCACACCCCTGCTGAGGGCTCGGACGAGCTAAGCCGAGAGTGTCGGCACCACAAGGATGTGGAGCACCTGGGACTCTCACCTGGGAGGCGGCACACCCCGCTGTCTTCCCACAGAGGAAACGTTCAGACCCAGCCGTGATGGCATGTGGTGGCACACTGCATGGCACTGAGCCAATGGGACGCCCCCATGTGGACTCTGGGTCGACCCAAATACACCAGATGCACCCGCGCGAGCCCACGATTCCGGATGGCTGGGAGGCTGGGGTAGGAGCAGCATGGCGAGAGCCTGTCAAAGGCCCTTGTGCTTGCGTGTGCGTGTGTGTGTGCATGTGTGTGTGTGTGTGTGTGCATGTGCGTGTGTGTGCGTCTGTCTCAAAATTCATGATTAGTTTTAAAATTAAACACACACCTACCCTTGGATCCAACTCTTCTACTTCTAGGTACTTACACAGAAAAAAAGCATGTAATCAAAAATACTTGTTCTTGGGACCAGCAGTTAGCGTAATGGCTATGTTGCTGGACTCCCACGTAGTCAACCGCGGTTCGCGTCCCAGACCCGGTGGCTTAAAACTCACGCCGTGTGCGTGCATGCCCAAGATCTCGAGAGGAGAATGGAAGAGAAGGGATTGGAGTGTGGCCATCTCCCCTGGGGGGTGATTTCTCGCTTTCTGTCTCTATGTCTCTCTCTGTCTGTCTGGCGAGCACATGCGCCCTATAGAGAAAACCTAAAAAAAAAAAAAAAAAAAAAAAAAAAACTTGTTCTTGGGACCAGCAGTTAACGTAATGGCTATGGGCTATGTCGCTGGACTCCCACATAGCCGACCGTGGTTCAAGTCCAGGACCTGGTAGCTTAAACTCACGCCGGGCACGTGTGCGTGTGTGCCCAAGATCCTGAGAGGAGAATGGAGGAGAAGGGATTGCAGCATGGCCATTCTCCCTGGGGAGTGATTTCTCGCTCTCTGTCTCTCTGTCTCTTTCTGTCTTTCCAGTGAGTGCACGTGCCCTATAGCAAAAACCTCTCAAAAAAAAAAAAAATCTTGTTCTTCAGCCAGCAGGTGGTGTGGTAGCTGAGGTGCTGGATCCCACATGGCCACTTTGATGGTTCAAGTACCAGACCTGGGACTTGAAAAATGTGCTGGACACATGTGATCTCGCCGGGGTGAAGGACACGTGCCCCCTCTCTGCTGGGTGTGGTAACACAGGTGTCAGAGTTCATGGAACTGTATGCGTAAGACATGTGCTTCACGAAATGCAAATCACTCCTCAGCCAGAAAAGAAAACAAGAAAACACTAGATTGATAATGAGCATTAACGAGGGCATCATAAATCGCAATTCTTGTTGCCAGAGTCCCCGCTACGAGCTGACTGTACCCATGTTCACAGTAATAGCTCCTCTCCCTGGGACCTCGCCACCGCCTGGGGTAGGTCACATCCACCTTGATGATTCTAAGAGGCACTTTCCCTTTCTTCTTAATTCTAACATCTCTGAGACAGGAATGAGCCTTAGATCGCTCACTCCCACCAGAGTCAGGATGCTGGTGTCCCAATGCGACTGTTCTTGGCAGCCTCAGTGACCGGCGGCCGCTCCCTGCTGTTTCCGACCATTTCAGGACCACTGAGCCTCAGCTAGTGCCTGGGACCATCCTGTCCCTGCAGATTCGTAAGCCAAGAAAGCCTCAACTTTAACACTTGAAGAATGGTGTCAGCAGCTTGGCAGAAAATCCTACAGAAAACAGCAGTTTATTCTCGAGGGGAAGTGCGTCGCCAGGCACTTCGGCGGCACAGGGTGAAGGTGTGTGGGGCCTCAGGCCTTGACGACTGTGAGTCAAAGTGCGTTTCAGAAGACTCAAACTCTGAACATGCAGACAGTTTAGGAAAACCATAACCAATTATTTTCCTTTTTTAAGGAGTGGTTTGTGACTGTTTTAAAGCCTAAATACATCTAGAAGAGCTATTTCAATAAGTACGAGATAAAGTTCTAAGCCACAGAAGGTCTGGTTTCAGGACAGCAATTTGTTTCTTTGTGCTGTCCCTCTCGGAAAGACACATCGTTATCTCTGCTGTTCCCGTGAGAAAACCCAAGTTCACGTCTCGCTGAAGGTCACTGGGCAGCAGCCCCAGGGCAAGATCCCCCTCAGACAACCCGGAGTCCTGCTGTCGACCACAAAGCCGTGCTGCCAGCTCTCTGATTATTATTTATGGGCAGATGCCAACCTGTCCAGGGCGTGTCTCGGAGTGAGAGTTAACAAGAAGTGGGGCGGCAGCAACTGCACACCCAGAGACAGCATGTGGAAGGCACCGCATTGCCTCCTGGGAACAGCTCGAGGAGGAGACTCTGGAAACCAAGGGGCGGCCAGGCAGGTGTGCTGGAAGTGCATGCTCTGGGCGCCGTAATCCACGTTATAAAAGACGGGAGAGCGACGGTTCATTAGCGCCTGGGCCCCCTCCTCGGGCCTGAGAAAGCCTGGGAAAAGGCCAGCGGTAGGGTGAACGTTCTACATGGGCGGCATGACCGTGAGGCCAGAGAGGCTGTGACACCAAATCCGAGCCACGAGGAACTGCTACCCCGCCCTCAGGGAACATGCATAAGCATTTGACCTCGGATCCATGCCCAGGTCAGTCTGGCCTGATGCAGCCCTCCCTGCCAGACCGTATGTAAAACAGACCCCCGACCCACACCTCAGCACCCGCCCGGAAACCAACCCCCATCGACAAAAGACAGCCCAGGAGGCCCACCTGCTCTGGGTCCAACCTATAGGAGCCAGGCTGCTCTCTCCAGAGACCCACAGGCTATGCCACGGCCTGGGGGACTGTGGGCCCCGAGCTACCAGGACGAGGACACGGATGGCAGCTCCCCGACTGTCTGTGCCCTACTTACGACCAAGCACAGTGTCCAATACGCCCCCACCAAGCCCAGGGGGCCACTGCTAGCCCCTGCCTCTGGCCTCCCACAGCAGCAGCAGCCCCACCACCTGAAGCGCCCCCTTTCCACCGTCGGGCTCCTGCAGTCCTCCACCTGCCTCTTTCTCTCTCTGACAAACAAACATGCACTATGGCGGTGGGGGGAAATTGTAATATTTTAAAATGAGTTGGATGACCCAGCTGCCACAGCACAA